GACGGACCCTCAAAAGAAGAACAAAGGCTTGGAGTAAAAGCGGAGAAATTTTTACAGAAAATAACTGTATCTCCAAGCATTGAAAATAGTTGAAGACTGAAGAACTGTACATCCTACATCCCAATGGGAAGAAATGTATGCATTTCATCTTTTAACACAAACTTATATAATGTGTTAATATACAAAGTGAAATTTTGTTGTTCTTCAACATGGCAGCTATTCATGATATGCAATGCAGTTTTCCAATTTGTATGTGTATACACAAAATACACAAAGCTAACTTATGATTCAGAAGAGAGAAGAACTGAAGCTCCAATACTCTATCATCAAAAATCTCTTTTTTGCACTTTATAATAATCACAGTTTCCAAAAATTAACAGTTCTTTTTCTTACCACATTAAGGCAAGAAAGTCATCAAGAAAGTCTCTGAAACCCTGAGACTACAGCTCCAAACAGCTGTAGCTCCAAACCTTGAAAATCCCAAACCCTGCTTTATATACATGCTTCTATTCTCACCATCTCACTTACAGTACTCTGGTCTTCTCACTAGTAAAAATATTAAGTGAACTCTTGACTAACAAACATTAGTCCATCCCAGTGGACTTAGTTTTATGAGATCAAGTGCCAGGAATTCTCAGACTTGGGTGTTTCTATATTGTTCATCTCCAGATTCTTTCGGCAGACATGAAATGTTTTAGAACAATCACAAATGCTGTCAAAAAACTAGACAATACTCAATGGAAAGAAACCAACTTGAAAAAGCTCTGAATGAAGTTGACTTGTTCCACACATAGTAATCTCAAAGCTACCACTTTGTTAGGTTTGAGCAACATAACCAACAATGCTTGCAAATATTCAAGGGGAATTATGAACCTTCTCTCTGTGAAGCCCTGAGGCAGAAATTATCTGGATTGAGGGTAAAAGTGGGTAAAATGAGGACCCATATTGTTGGGGGCAATATGCTGACTCTGTAAACCACTTAGAGAGGGCTATAAAAACATTGTGATGTGGTGTATAAGACTAAGTGCTATTGCTAATTACAAATGGAAATAAAATCTTCTGAACACAAACTATACAGCTATGCCAGATGATGGGAAAACATCGGAAGGAAAAGGAACCAGGAGACTGGAAGGTTATGGAAGTTAGGGCATCAGGAATTCTGGAGAGCATCAATTTGGCTCTGAAAAGTATGTTATTTATTGGTATTCCAATTCATGTTTTTCAGAGCAGTCCTTCTGAACTGAATCAGGTTTACCTGAAAGGGGCTAAATTATCTTCTCATTAAAGGTGAAGGCTTTGCCTAGCCTTTAGTCAGTCAACATATGCTGAACATTGATTGTCTTGCCATCTTCAGACTATGATCATGATGGCAGCATGTCATCAGGACTCAAATTCAGATATTCAATATTCATATAGAGAAAAAATAATCTAAACAAAATAACATTGAAGCAACAACAAGCAGGATTGTAAAGACTGGGTGAGCAAAGGCAGCATTTTACAATATGGGTGGAGAAGCAGATTCAGCAACTTAACAAACTGAGATGTGGTAAAAATGACAACTGTGTATCATCTATTGAAGGTCACTAATTTTACCAGATGCAACTGGCTGAGGAATGTTTGCAGTTGTGCAAACACACATGACTCTATGATGCAATGTCATATGGCATCCAATAAGAACTGAGGCAAGGAGCCCTCCAAAACAGCAAACCTGTTCTTTCTGGGGAGGGGATGTACTCGGAATCAAAGCAGATTTTTACCTATATCCTTCAGTCCGAGTTTTCTGCCTACCAATAATACTGCTATCTCATCTGGATTTAATTTGTTTCCTCAGCCTTGCCTGGATCTTTATTGAGATTAATCAATCTTCAAGTCGATCTAGAAACTAGATGGTAGGGAGCAGTAGATCTGGATGTCATCAGCATTCAATGACATCCTATTCTAAAGCTCTGAGTGATCTCCTTCAGACCTTTTACGTTGATGTTAAACAATAGAGGGAAGATCGGACCTGTGGGACACTATACTTCAATCACTAAGAATGATACAATAATCTCCCAATATCACCTCTTGGGCATACACCCAAATGTACCATGAAATCAGTGATTCAGCTTCACTGAAAAACAGTGAACATATGGCCTTAAAAATATCAAACTATGGTACCAACTAGAATCACATTTTCTTCCATCTAGTTTTCAGTCATCTATTGAGGCAATCATATCTCAGACAAAGTTCTGGGTCTTGAGCTGTGATATTACCATGTTCTAAGAGTTGTTACCATCTTCTTAGCATCTTAATCAGCAATAGAATGCCTGAGCCTGACCTAGATTTACAGAGATCTTTTGGTTCAAAGCAGGTAATTTTATAATTACCAGTAAGAACAGAATGTACCCTCCAGAAGCATCAGTCTTCTTCCTTGACCATGAGAAGTTGCCTCTCCTAGCTTGAGTAAATGTGTCTTATCCATACCTTCAAAACCTACTAGCTGGAAAGAATAAATATGAATAGGGCAAGCAGTTGAAAAGATTACCAGCCTAAAACAAAATAAATCTGATTCCTATTTTTTCTGTATAAACTGAGGTTAATTACTCAAAGAAATCTCCAACTGCCAGTTTCCCTACACAATATTTTGATAGATACAGTATTATAAAGCATTGCCACCTTTTTCTTTGCAGAAAATTAAATCATTTTCCTTTCAAAGACTGCTAAGCAGAAGGATGTCAGATGAATCTTTAAAAAGGCTACTCTCCACATCCATTCAAACCATCTTAGAAACTCTTCCACTTCCACTCCAACCAATCTGTTTCATTGCTCTCAGCATTCCCCTTGTTAAGCGAAAGAAATAAGGCAGCTGAGAAGTGGCAGATTACAAATGTAACAAAATAAATAGGAATAACAGGCTCAACTGTCCAGGGCATCTCAACACCCAAAGACTATGTACGGATTCAGCAATAAAACTGACAAACAGGCAGAAATTTTTTTAAATTGCATTTGGAAATACTCTAGAATTTATGTTAGTTTGCTGCCTCAGACTGGAAAGGGAAAAAAAACATCTAGAGGTAGAGGAGTTTCCAGAGATGATCAAAAAGTTTGCATCGTCCAATTTTCAATACAAGGATACATGCAATCTTGGGGCTATAGCTTCCCAACTTTTTAATTAATAGAAAGACAGTAGTGAAATATAAAAATGTTTCTGAATCCAATGTACAAACAACACATCTGTATTTTCACTTCCTATAAACAAAGGCTGACAATCACAAAATGGTGCCATGCCACCGTAAGTGCCTTCCCTGCCAAGCTGCTGATAGGGCTTCCTAATCAAGTTGGCAATGAATATTTTCTTAAATCACATTAAGCCAAGACACCAGTTCAGACAATGAATTATAGCACCTGGAGGGGAGGTTACTTGCTATTTCCCAAGATAACCAATGATTAATGGAGTGTACTGTACCTGTTATCAAGATAAGCTATAAGGTATAAGGTAAAAGATAAGCTATAAGGTATGTTTATAACTTCTGAGTTTTTTGCTAAGAAAAACAGGAGGCATTCTATATAGGCCTATGGTAATCAGCTTTTTATATATGTTGCATCAAAGTAGTGGGAAGAAACTCGTCTAGTTTAATTTAACTTGCTTCTACATAGAGATTCTACTGAAAACAAGCAGAACACAACCCAGAAAATAGTATCTTGAGAGTGAATCCAGATCTTCGAAGTAGTTGTCTATGTAATGATTGGAGCCTAGGGGAAGATTGACTGGTTTATAATAAGCCATAGTTCCTCCCTTTAAATTAAACAAGGACTGTATTAGCATCCTTTCCTTTGCTTCACTATTAACCCTTAGCAGTTCTGTGAACACTAATTTTACCTGGGTTACTACATTTTTGAGAAGTACCTTAAAAGTAATCTCCCAAGTTTTTCCAAAGCAGTTCCTATCATATAGACATCTAGTTGAGCTGTGCAGATCTCTAGTCTTGCTTTGGTAGAGTGTTTTCTGTTTGCAAATTGTTTTGAATGGATTTTTTTTTAAAAAAATGTTTTTGACCAAACAGAGATAGGAATCTCTTTCAGTTTTGTTTAAGCTTTTCAAAGTCTGACGTGCTCGGTCAGTTCAGCAAGCAATGAGAAAATGAGACAGGCTTTGCAAACAGTTGTAAACATGGCAGGGTTGTTAATGCTTTAAAAAGTTGGGAGGAAGCAACTGACCACCTTTATATTTTTAAAAAAGCAGAAAGTGATCCCATAATGCTTCTTCATTATGTTTTTGTTAATGAAAGGTAGAATGCTAGCCAACAGAATTACGACAACTAATGTGTGAAATGAAAAGTAAAGAAATGCAAAGCAACAAGACAGGAACTCTTATGTTGAATGGGATAATATGGGAATTATCAAACAGTGGACCAGGTCCTCACTAGTACCTTGAGGGGGTTCCTCATAGCAGCCTAGCAGCCTTACATAGACAGAGTAGGACATTATCACATGTTCCAGCTTTTCTTCTTCAAAACACAGTTGACAGCTAAGGTACTAGAATGTCTGAGAAACCCAATCATATATTGATTAAAATGCAACTTCAAAGTAAGTGATTTATTTTTTGCCTAGCCCTAAATAAATCATAGTCTGTATTCATCAGAGGCGTTGTGTCAATTCATGTACCATTTTTGGATTGCCTTTTCATTTTCCTTCATGAATTTCTCTTCATTTCCTGCAAGAGTTTAGAAAAAAAAACAAAGACCAAATTAAACTTGGTGGAAAATCCAGAACAAGAATTGAACAACACCCTGAAAGAAGAGGTTTAAAATTGAACAATACTACATTGTACTTGGGCTTTTTATTTGTCTTGACCTTTAATCCAGAGCTCATATTCACCCAGCAATATTTACTCAAGGTGGTGATAACATACTTTGCAAAGTTAAACTCTGTTTATTTACAGTATTATGTTGCTGGGATTGGTTACTACACTTATCAGAGTAATTTTTTTTATAGGTAAAACATAACTTTTATTTTCCTGCTTCTCAAGAGAGAAAAAGGAAACCGAAAACTCTGGAAACTGGAAAAGTGGCTTTTGCACAAACATTGGAAGACTTAAAAGCTAGAATCATCTACTCAGGCACACTGTCGTGATTGATATTCCTTGGAGACAGTGTACATCTGAGGAGCCAGAAGGATCATTCTCTTGTACAGAAGCTCAGAGCAAAATGGTACGTTCTCAAAAATACCTCATTCAAATTCTTTTTAGAAAATGCCCAAAGGGAATAATCTTGGTATGCATGTGTGAGGGATAGAGGAATTGCTAAGATTTCTGCCTAATGCCCATCATCTCAGCTTTCTCTTTAATTAAAAGTAACTTCTGGGAAAATTTACAGACACACATTTAGGCATGGCACTAATTTTATGAGTTACAGCCATGAAAAATTTGTGAGCCTTCTGCTCTTGAAGAATGCATTACTTGCAGATCTGCAGAATCCACAGGCTTTATAGATGGTGCTTTAGCAAGTAGAATAAATAATGCCTTGGTTTTTTAAAAAGAATTTGCCATGTGCAAACATCTCAAAGAAGGGCTTTGGTCACCATTGTAAATCTGTTTGCCAATTATTGTGGGGGGAGGGATGACACTCTTTTCCAAATCTGTGGCTCCTTGTGCCACTCTGATAAGGTATCAGAAAAACAAATTGCAGATGTGGGCTGGCTATACTGTTGAGTGTATAGAACAAGTTCATTGAGGGAATTAACAACTCTCAGATGGGGGAGGTCACAAAATAAAAAAAATGAATGTTGTTCTGGTGAAACTTTCTTTTAGTGATTATCTGAGAGATCTGAGCAAATAAATTTGCTGTTTCAGTCAAACAGAAGAGTCTTTTTTAAGTCTTCTTTTTCTGTAACCTTCATAGATTCTAGAGTTTGAGGATAATATTTTCCTGTGGGTAGGGTATTGGTGATTGAGGCTAACCTTTTTATTCTAAAGACAAAAGGATTTGTTCTGCCTTAAGGCTACAGAAAAACGTGCTAAATATTACCCTCCCCAGGGAAGATAGTGTTAGGTAATGAGGGGCAAAAAAAATCAGAAGGTCCTGATAATCCTTTTTCCAAATAAAACATTTTTATTATAAAGCATCCAATGAAGTGAGCTGCAGCTCACAAAAGGTTATGCCTTCTAATAATAATTTGTTACTTCTGAAAGGTGCAACCAGAGCCCTCCTGATTTTTTGCCTTTCCAGAAGCAAGTTTATTATTTCTAGGTTCCTACTTTGCAGAAGAGTGGTGGTGATTTAAAAGCTAAGAATTTGCATTTGGATTAACTCAGAGTTTGTAGATAGACCTCATTGGTTTTTATAAGAAAATGTTGAGAGAGAGGGAGGGAGGGAGGTGGGGAGAAAGATACTTGATTGCTCGCCATTTTATTGTATTTATTTATTTAGTTTGTCAAACATATATGAGATAACAGGTATAAGTATAAATGTGGACATGAATACAGGAAATGGGTACAAATAAATGGGACAGTAGGACAGGGACGGTAGGCACGCTGGTGGACTTATGCATTCCCCCTTAGGAACCTCTTAGGAATGGGGTGAGGTCCACGGTAGACAGTTTTCTCCCAGCAATTTTCTTCACTAGAAGAAGAGGAAACAAAACTCATCTACCACTCACAGCAGCCCTGCTTTCAAACTTGAGTGCGTGTTTGTGCCTTGAGTTAGAGGATTTCTTTCTTTCTTTCTTTCTTTCTTTCTTTCTTTCTTTCTTTCTTCCTTCCTTCCTCCCTTCCTTCCTTCATTCCTTCCATTCTTCCTTCCTTCTGGCAACTGACACATCCATGAAGTTTTCCTGGCAAGGTTTTTCAGAAGTGCTTTGCAATTTCCTCCTTCTCTGTGCCGGAGAAAATGACCGGCCAATGTACTCAACTGACTTTGGGCCTAAGGTGGGACCAAGACTTACAATCTCTTGGTTTCTATGGCAGCTTGATACCTTCACTACACCACCAGACTGACTCTCTGTTGGTAACTCCAAGATTTAGCTGGAGGAGGCAGGGGCACATTTTTAATCAGTCTGATTAAATGGCGTTGAAAAATGAAAAAAAAGGGGAGAGGTTAAATAAAATTAGAGGAGTTCTTCCTTTAAGGGTATTTTCCTTAACCTTTTGAGAACTAAGGCCTGCCTACTTGAATATTACTGATTCCCTACGGGGAAGAATCACCAATTTTAAGCAATGTGCCTGGGAAATGGGGATAAATCTCATCAATTGTGAGTGGAATTGCTGGACTGCACTCACCATTATATACAGAAAAGCAGCCCTCTTTTCCTAGTACCATCTGATCAAGGTTACTGGAAAACAGCTGAAATTCTCCACTATGCTATTAGACTATATTTTCCAGGCTAAACATTAATCCTTCCCAAGTTAGTTTGTGTTCATAATCCTACTAAAAAATTAGGTATAGAAATGAAAACAAGCATAATTATTATGTAAATTATGCCTTTTTGAATAAAATCTTGAATTTATGTAAGAATGGGCCCCCAGGTGCTGTTATGCAAAGCCAAAATTGTCGGATTTACTTAGTGAGATGTCTATAAACCCAACTGTTATGGTTTATAAGCCTTGCTTTATGGATTAGTGTTATGTACAAACTAAACTACTATGGTGTGTTCTCTAAAATACATTTAAAGAAAACCATAGCTTTGGCTGATAGATTAATCAGAAATACACTCTTTGAGGTTTTTAAATAAAATGAATTAGAGAGGAGGTCTGTGGAAGAGCAGGGAGCTTAGCAAAATTGCAGGCACCAGTGCTGCCTTCTTCCCCTTACTACTTGAGGTAAAAGAAGTATAGCAGCACATGAAGACAAAGCACAATGCAAAAAAGGGGCAACAGCTGGACATGTTGGCTATTAACAGAAAAAGAGGATGAAATAGATAGACAAAACAGACTTAAGACAGAAATGTTCTTTCCGAAGATCTTACTGTACTAATTAATGCATCAACATTTGAAATGTTGAAATTTGAAATGTTGATGCATTGCTAGTATACAAGTAGTAGGTGATTAGGTAATAGAGTAATAAGTAATGGCAATTGAATAGTATTAGTAGAGAATACAATATATCTATTGGCAATGATTTAGAGTATAAGCATTGTCATAATAGTAATTGAAGATGGTAGTAAAGATCATGGTAACAGTATAGAGATAGCATTAGAATAGAATAGAATAGAATAGAATAGAATAGAATAGAATAGAATAGAATATAGAAAGCATTTTCATATCACTTTTATGTTTGTTTTCACAAATTTAAATATCTATCCAATCCTTATAGGGAGGTATAAAGAACCTACCTGTCCAGGGTCTGGTGGGCTTATGACTCTCCTGAGTCTGGATCAATCCAATTGAGCATGATTTAAAAAACAACAACCTGTCACAAAACTTCAAGTGAAAGAAAGCTATGTGGCAGTGGCTGCACATTTTCCAGTTAAATTACATGGCACAGTTTTTGAGTAGAGCCTGTTTTATATACAAAGTGTAATAGTCATCTTCTAATGAATACAAATAAGAAAATCCCCCTTAATAGGATTAAAGACCATGAAGTGCCAAAATAGTATGTATGACTGGGATTTGCATACAATATCTTTAGCTTAATGTTGATCTCCCAAGGCATTAACAAGCAGTAATTGTAGCAGGAGTGGCTTATTTACAGCTTTTTCTAAATAATAGATAATTACAGAAAACAGCATCACTTTAACAAATAGAGGCTAAATTGCAAATTAGAAATAAAATTGTAGTGAACACAAATTATGCCACAAACCAAATGTGTAGATCTTTTTTGCCCAGGTTTAATGAACCTATCCCAAATAATTTTGATTAGACAATTAATTTATACAACATGACTAGTCCAGCTATAATTACGGTTATTAGAGATTTGTCCAAGAGGTGTCAAACTCTTTATTTAAATCTGATTTTTCCCCCATTGATTCAAAATATTTTGATAACTTTAGTTAACCACAATTGTTTTCCTTCATAATGCAATCTATAGAGTTCTATATGCTCCCTCAGCTTACTTGCTTGCTTGCAGATGTTTCATTACCCAAATAGGGAATAGCATCAGTTCAAGTGAGCATGCAGTTTCCTTCCTATTTATGTAACAGTAGCCTGCCCTCTCAGGTTTTTTTTTTGAGGAAGGGGATTCCTCTTTGGTGATTCTTTGATTAGAATATTACTTTCTGCCTGATTGTTTGTCTGGTGCTGATCATTGCTTATTTGAATATTGGCTGATGGAATGGATGTGTTCTACTCTTTTGTTTCCTTGCTAGGTTTTTTTATTTTCTCTTTTTATTGTCTCTTTTGAATGTGTGTAAATTGGTTTATCTCAGTGGGTCTACTGATGGGTCATATAGCAGTATCCAGCAATCAATATTCAACCAAGCTGAAAGGGCACCAAAGTTCAAGTCTGAGCTACAGATATTCTATTAATACAACCTATATCCAGATATTTTATTTTATGTATTTCAATGCATATTCAAATAAGGGTCGAAAGTTTTCATCGGACTGTCAAATGGGTCTATGGTATCTATGGTAAAAAAAAACCATGTGTATTAATTCTTCCTTTTTCCGGAGATGTAAAAATATATTGGATTTCTACAAAGAGTGTTATGTCAATAGGTCTAGTTTGGTCATCCATCGGTCTCCTGATGATCTTTACAGAGCCTGTATAGGCAAATCTTTGCTGATAGGTGGATTCAGGTTACTCAACCTGAATGGTATATACCTGTATGAGGTTATGAATGGGAAAGCACTCAGTTTGCCTAGCCTGGTGTCCTGCAGTTCCTTGGTTTCAGCCTCCTTGCATTTCTAATCCAAATGGCCATTGGGTAGAAATGCTGGGAGATGAGTGAACACCTCTAGGTAGCACCACATTAGAAGGTTGAAATAATCCAATAAAGTTCTTTTTAGCTATGGATACTGAGGCCAGACCCTGGAACATTTTACAGTTAAAACAAGTGTCTTGGTGATATCTTTTCCCAGTAGAAGTAGTCATCTATAACTCTAAATAAAAGTTTCACTCAATCAATCCCCAGAATAAATTCTATCACCTAAGAACTTTGAAAACTTCCATACCAGAGATGGTATTCAGCCAGTTCTGGCAGGTTCTGGAGAACCGGTGACAGAAATTTTGAGTAGTTTGGAGAACTGGCAAATACGCTGGCAGCTGCCCACACTGCC